AAGAATTACAGTGATTACTAAAAGAAGAGATGAAACATACTTCATGACCAGCCATAAATGGAGCCTGAACTTTCTCGGTTATTACAGGAAGCTCCAGAGCCTTATTTTTCAAACTGGAGTCATTAAGTGCTGGACCTTTGCCATGTGAAGATCCATCTAAATCAGTTTAATCCAGAAGGAATCAGAATACATATAAAATAAAGTACACGCTACCAATTCAGTAATTAATATGCCTAACGACATGCACATTTACAACTACATCAAATCTCCACGCTGTTAGTTAGTCTTCCATATGCTGTGGTAAAAGATCAAATATCAAGGGTCCCGAACTGAGCTCTTAATAACTGATGTTTTCTTTCATAATAATAATAAACAGAAAGAATTAATTGAAATGTTTTGTCATCTGTCGTGAGGCTAATTTAAGACAGATTATTTTAATCAACACATGGTTAATTCTACAAGTAAAAATCCACTACTAGCCTATATGCCTTTCAGATGTCCTAGAGCTGCAAATGAGTTCGAAAGGATTGAGATGGATAGGCGTCGAAGGTCAATCTTTAATACAAACTTCATTAGGAAAATTTTGCATACTAACCAAGTCCGAATAAGTAAACCATAATAAAAGACATAAATGTGCATGTAAATATATCGTAGGCACCTGCAATTAAGTGCAAACAACTTAACAAGATTAATTCCAGTATAATTTGCTCCCAATTATTCTTGCATACCTGATAGCATACAACTAAACAAGGAAGTCAATATCAACTAGGATGAGCCTCAGACACAATTAAATTTCATAAAACGCTCACATTTTATCAATTTCAGCAGAAAGTGTGATCCAGGAGCTTTTCGTGCTCACAAATATTTAGTTTTCCTAAACGTGTTGTGACCAAGATGTGCCAGAATATCTCAAGGTTAAGGAATTAATAGTTTGTCCCTTCACGAAATACTAGAGTTAGTAGATAACATCAAGCATAGCAAGTTCTCAAGCCAAATACAACAGAAACCACACATACATGTATGTACATTGCTAAATACTAGCAATACAATGTGCATTGACCAGGGGTCATGATTAAATAGATAATGTTTGAATTTACAGTAATCACTTAATTACAGAATCTACAACAGTGAACCCTTAATTTTTGAAGTGTGCTTCAATACTATATTATTTTTCCTAATATAAATCCAGCCAAGTTCCATAATTGTTATTTGTGGGAATTCTTTATGATTCAAAAAACGATGAGATTTTAATAAATCAATATAGCCCTTTGTGATGTTCAAATGAGTCAATTCCAAAAATATGGTAATGCATTTATTTATATATTCAAGGTTTTGACTGGAAGCCCCATGAGGTAGAAGTATAGTGCATATGGTCAACGAGAATCTCGAGCTATATGTTCAATAATTTGCCTTCCTCTTTAACATAGCAAAGAGTGAGAAACGGTGGTGCATATACAAGTGAGGCTGGTTACTTGCCTCCATCTCAATATAAAAACATAAGGCGATACATAAATTGCATTAGTTTATTTGTAAATGCTTGAATGACATTTACCTTTAGATAGTGATCTGAAGTTTGCAGCCTCAACCTGCATCATGCAGTTCAGCAGAAATCCAATTAGATAATATTAAGACACAATATCAGAGATCACCCTGAGCTTTATGGTAACATCAAAGACATCCCCTCATGTTTAAAATATCACACTAACCTCCCATATTTCTAGTTTTGAGTATCACATATACCCCTGACCACATTTTGAGCTACATATCATCTAAAATGAAGTTGACATACCTAGGATGCCTTTATGAAGAAAAAGATGAAATTTTCGATGGGTAATTGCAATTTAATTTGTTCCTTTTAATAATAATAGACTTTGTGCATATATAATTTTGAATATGCATGCTAGTGGAAATTTAAACCTGCAATTTTTTGAAGAAAATTTGGAAATAAATGATTTTAATTTTTTTAATTAGTTATATGTATTTTTTATACATAATTTAAATATTAACGAATGCAAACTTATCAATAGAAATTCATAATTATAAATTTATAACTAAAACAAAATATTAAGCCCATGTTTGGCCCATTTCTTAAAATTCATTTTTTTCCAAACTCATTTTCATCTACGCATTTTATGAGACTCATAACTTTTATCAACTTTTCAACTATACATTTCACCAACTGTTATCAAAATCTACTAAAAATCTATTCTTCATCCAAACCAAACGAAGGCTAAATATAAACATGTATCTTTTACAATTCAAGTAAAATATAGGAATCTGCCCCACCAGAATCTTTTGTTTTATTATATTTTATTTATTTTAATGTTTTTCAATTTAAAACTTATTTAAAAATAAAAATAATATTAAAAAATTAAATATTAATTCAATGGGGGCGAGAAATGGGGATTTTTTAATCCCCGTCTCCATCCCAACTCCAAAAATTCCGACAAGGCGGGGATGGTAACGGATGCCCCGGCCCCACCTCACCTCATCACCATCCCTAGTAAAATCTAGCTAAAAAGTTGTATATATTAGTTCATCAAACAATTATACACCTTCAAAATTTATTATTAAAAATATAAATTCAGACAAATAACACCACATATGAAAACAAGTAAATTTATATAATTAAAATTTAAACTATGTCGAACAAGCTGTGTATATAATATGTCAATTTACCTTCTTATAGTTTACTTTGCGAAAATTAACTATTATAAAAAATTTCATCTTTTACTTCACAAGGGAATTTTAGATAATATATGGTTAAAAAGTGGTCAGAAAGTATATGTGATACTCAAAGCTAGAAATATAAAAGGTTAGTGTGATCTTTCAAATGTGATGGGCATTTTTGATATAGCCATAAACCTCAGGTCATATTGTCTTTAAAATCAAATGAATGTGCACTACAAGGCAAGTCAGTTTAAGTGAAACCCTGTACCATCTATAGAAGTTTACACATAGATAAGTTCTAAAAATTAGCAAAGTCGCTCATTGTACCTTTGAACTTCTGACATCCTACAACCCGAATCATTTTCTATCTGCTCGTCTTTGTTAAATTCATTTGCTTTCTCAGATTCTTCTTCTTGTACTTCGAGATCAGTAATCTGCGACAAGATGCATGTATATTCTTCATCTTCAATTGCAGCTTTGTTGTTCTCTGCCTCGAGATTCTCTGAAATTTCCCAGAAATTGTTAGTACTGAGTTCTTTGCTCTAATAAAAAATTGCAACTTGGCAAGACACAAAATCACAAGCCTAAATCAAATGAGTAATGCTACTTGTACATAATTGTGTACAGATTGGTCTACAGATTAATGATGTGGAAGAGAGAGAGAGAGAGAGAAAGAAAGAAAAGGATCCCAATGAAAATGTCCACTCTCCTAAATGAGTCCTCTTTAATACCATATTTGCACTTCCATCAATGTCAATTTAAGCAGCACATGTCCAAAATATCAATTTACGTCATAAAACCAAGTATCATGTTTGAAAAGGATGCACACCATACATTTTCCAGCTCCGTTACATATCAATGTCAAAAATACCACAATAAAGTTTTCTTAGTGACAATTTGGCATGGCCATTTTGGAAGGAAAAACCGATGTGCACATGGTCTACAAGATTTTTGGATTTCTCCCAAGTCAACGTTGTGATATTTTTGACATAGATATGTAAAATAAAGCAGGAAAATATTTGGCGTGCAACCTTTTCAAATGTGATACTTGGTTTTCTGACGGAAAGTGATATTTGGGACTTTTGCTGCTTATATTGAGATTGATAGAAGTGCAAATATCCAACAAGCTTGTAGACCATACGCACATTGGTTTTTTCCTTACGAAATGGCCATGCCAAATTGTCACTAAGAAAACTTTATTTCAAATAAATTCTATCAAATCGAATAAGTAGAATCAATTCTTCAACAGATAGATAACTGTTTCTTTTCTTTTTTGAAAGTATTTCTTTTCTTATTTTGTTTCCTTTTCAAATATGCAAAATAAAATAAGGATTTCATTTCTGATGAGAACCATTAATAGTGGCATCCATCATATTTACCAAAATATATAATAAAAAAAACAAATGAATTAATAAATTCTCAAGGATTAATAGTTCGCCCAGATACCAAAAAGGACATGGATACCTACTTGTTAAAGATACCACTTCCGGAGGACTTTCCTCAACATAATCTTCCCTTATCTCTACAAGACCATCCTGTCAAACATTACTTGGAAATATAAAAATCAAATAACTATAAATGAATGAACAGCAACTATAATGGAAAACAGAGAGAAAATAGGACATCTAACTGAAAAGTACTGACATAATTCCTTGTATTATTTTTAATACGACTATTTCCAAAAAATAATTACTTCTCAGTTAAAGATACCTCAACGAAGGATGTGCAATCCTGTGGGCCAGCTTGTTAGAGATTTTAAATCAACTAATAAGTCCAGGGGAAACAAAAATGTGTTCTTATTTCAACATTATATGTTGCATGTACTGCGTACTTAAATACAAAAAAAAAGAAGCTAGAAACTAGTATTATTTGTACTTTCTTCTTAAATCATACAAATCCCAACCAATTCAAGGCAGGCTTCAAACAAAATTCTAGCGAGAAATAATTTTCCCACTGAGTTTATTTATATCAAGTTTACAAACATAATGAAATCATGTAGGCATGTGCTTCCATAGCTTCAGTCTTCAGATGAATTGTAGATATGAAACAGACGGAGATATCTTCCGTGCACTGAGATGGAAAGGGAAAAAGCAACAGATGGTCTTTTCTGATAAGATGGCGAGTGTGAAAGTGGGGGATCTCTGACCCTACTTAGAGAAAAATGATTTACATATGGTTCAGGAGATACTACTTAGCATCAAATTGATGATCTAGTTACAAGAAGTCCACTTAAAACTTAATTTTATGATCTTTATTCTATCTGAACATCTAATGCTTATAGATCATTATAAAACTAACAGAAACTTGGATGTCCTCAAAGCTGGTTAGCATATGCCAAGTAGTCATTTTAAAAAGAGCTACCTTGAAATAATTATAGATGAATAATTCAAATTAACAGAACTCACAAACTCTACAATCTTTAATTATATATATAAAAAATCAATAACTACTCCCAAAAATCAACAAGCTGACCACCGCCTTGGGAGCTGTAGTATCGAAAAATGAAGCCTCAGCCTTTAATATCAATTCTCTGCTTGGTTGTTCTTTCAACATAGTGGCCTACTCCTAAAAGGACCTGCACTCCGTGTTGGAAACATGTAGGATTAAATTTAACGATTTCAAAATCTGGAATGCAATTAAGTCATCAGAGAATATGCCAAAAAAATCGAAAACTACTCCCATTTACTTTGATTATGAGCAATTTCCATCAATCTATTTAACGTTTAATTTCCCAATCTAGTTTGTCAGGTTACATGGTTAAGATTAAACTCATTGTATTGACGGGTAACATAATATACATCTTATCCACACAAAAAAAAAAACAAACGGGGATTGATTTTATTAAGAAACAGAACAATATATTATCCAATTAATTAATTGCATACCAATTTTCAGAAATAAATTCCTAACCAAATCAAGCTGCTTATAGATTACATTCAAGAAGATTCAATCAGATTAAATAACCTAAAAATTGAAGTACTGCATTGCAAATGACGGACATATTCCAACGAAACTGTTCTTTCTCAAGTTTCAAAGGTCATACTACCAAAAAAACCACTATTATATCTTTAATATTCCCAAATAACCATTTTACCAAGATAAATGATGCAGGCCTTACCATCAACTCATTGGTGTGAATCAATCGACCCGGGAAAAATGCCGCCTTGCCAAACGGAACCTGTCCACCAACGACAAAAGCACAATCAGCGAGTATGTATACAAACAATTTTTATTTATTTATTTTATTATTATTTTTATTTTTTGGTGTAAAAGTTTAGAATTTTACCATGATGTTGTGGTGGAATTCATCAGGGAGATTCTGTACAAGATTTATAAGGTTAGTGTTCTCATTCATGAATCCCTTGAGTTGAACAAGTTGCTCTTGGCGCTTAGCTATATTGTCCCGCACCCGCTTAGATGCTTTATGGGCTTCCTCTGCTGGGAACAATGATGGCGTCACAGTGCCCTTCTTCATTGCTGGGTTTCCGCCATTGCTTATTCAGTTGACAAACAGACAAATTAGCCCAAGAATAAAGAATTGTCGCCGCCAAAAAGGGAAAAGAAAGGGAACTGAAGAATGTGTCTAAGCAAAACTAT